CGCTTGGACCCAGACCAAGTATTTCCTCAAGTCCTGTTCGACATGAACATAAAAGGAGCGAGCCAGATTCCCAGCGCCGTCAGAGGGCTGAAAAATCCCTGCCGCCGAGCCCCAGCCCCTCCCCGTGCACAGGGCCCGGCTCGGCTCAGAGCTGTGCTCCCCTTCCCGGGGCCAGCACCGGCCCTCCACTTGAGGCCAAACTCCACACCCAGACTGGATGCGGTCCAGCTCCACCTGCATCCCACCACCACCCCCAGCAGGACATAGCTATCCCCTCCGGTGCCCCCACTCCTCCTGCCCGGCACAGGAGGGTGCCCTGGGTAGCAAATGGCACCAACCAGCTCCTGGCCATGCTGCTACAAACCCCGGCTCACTGCCCTGGAGGGCTGGGGAAGGCACGGGGCAGTTGTGTGGATTCGGAGACAGGAGCAGGAGCTGGGAGAGGTTTTCACATGGCTGCCCGGGAAGGAGAGAGCACAGCAGGCTGCGTCATGCAGCCGCACCCAGCCTGGCCAGCACTGCCGTGCTCCCCTTCACTCTCTGCGCCAGGAAACCCCTTTGGCAGGTGCCAGCTCAACTGAGAGTCATGGCAGTGCCAACCCTCCTGCTTCCCGCCTGGCCCTGCTAACCAGGGCTTCCTTCCTCCCCTCTCCGCCCAGCCAGTTCTTTGTTCCCCATCCGTCCGTAACTGCACCCAGCGAGGTGCCCACCAGCCGCCCCCATCCAGGGCTGGGGCACCCCGGACAGAGTATCGCTTAGCATGGAGGGGAGTTGGGCACCTGCACAAGGGCCCACACAGCATCCCCCAGCTCCATCCTGCCTGCAGCACCAAGGGTCTCTCCTCTTCCCTGGATGCCAGATGCCAGGACGTGCCACACAGCACCCAGCTCCCCAGACACCAGCCCTTACCCCAGCTCCACCACAAGCAGCTCAGGACCATGGTCTTGCAGCCTGCTTAGCCAAGGTGTCAGGATCAGCCCCTCGCCATGAGAGGACCAGGGTGGCACCTCTTTCGTGTGACCACCAAGCTGAAGCAGCCTTGCAGCTCACCCAGTAGCGTCACAGCAATGGACACAGCTGAGAGCCAAAGCATGCACCAGTGCTACTTTCCCTTGTGCTCCACAACTCCACAGAGCAAGACCCCACTGCAGCCCTCAAAGTAAGGGCAGGACACCTCCTTCCAGCCCGTCCTGGCAGCCCTGAGGCCTGGCAGGACAGCCTGCCCTGCCGGCAGCACCCTTGCTCAAGGAAGCCGTGGCCAAGGCCAGCAGCATGCTCCAGGCAGGAGCTCTAGGGCTGGGGAATGCCTCCAGGGCGTAGATCAGCACAGGATCACTCCTTCCCACCAGTCAGGGCCCACTGCCCCACAGTCCAGCCTCACTAGAGAGCCCCCCTAAAGCTGCCTACATCCCCTGGGAATGGCCTCGCTGCTCCTGCCTGCCCTGCCCAGGCCAGCAGCGTTCCCAAGCCAAGGGCAGCACTGGCCCGCGCACACAGCGGGCTGTTGCTTCACAAGGCCCCTGCCCTGGGAGGCTCCTCCATCCGACCAGACCCTTTGTTAAGCGCTGGCTCACAGCCAAGAGAAACATATTTTAGAGAATAAACTCGCTGAAGCCGTCTCTGCGTGCTCGGCAGAGATCAGCAGGCCCCGGGGCAGCAGCCCTGGTGACTCCAGCCTTGCACAGTGCCCTCAGGGTCCGTGCTCTGTGCTGGGGTGCTGTGGAGACCCACACCCCTCTGGGACAGACGCACGGTGCCGGGCTCGTGCTGGGAACAGGTCCCCACGCAGTGCCACAAGCAAAGCTGTCCTTCGAGAAGCAGCCTCCGTGCCAGCTGCCCAAGCGTCAGCGGCACGGGCAATGCAGTCGCATTCCAAGGCTTATAAGGCAATTGCGTGGCCAGAGCCACGGCCAGCACCCACTCGGGTGACTGGACCATCCAGGGACAGAGACCCACACACACCCAGGGCCAGACCTGGCCTCGGTGAGCATCACATCAGGAGCAGCTCACACCAGGCACCTCAGCCACGAGCAGCCACCAGCACAACGGCTCTTGCTCAAGCTAGAAAAATAGGCTGGTTTTGCAGAGGAAACCATGTCCCAGTGCAGGCAGCAGTGCAGGCAGCAACGCAGGCTTCTTTTCTTCCCCTCCCTGCCCGTTTCAGGGCCAGTTCAGGTGCAGAGCTGGGAGTCACACAGCAGGAGGGAGAGCAGAAGGGCACAAGCTGGGTCCTGGGATGCTGAGCCCAGTGTTGTGGTGCAGAATGGGAAACTGGCCCGGTGGCTGAGAGACAGTGAGAGCGGCTCTCCTCCCCTTGCAGCGGGCACGCTCTGGAAGGGGCCTGCCCTGCACCCTCCCCAACAGCTCGAATGACTCTGCAGAGGCTGTACAGTGTTTCCCATCTGCGGTCCTCTGCCCGGAACACCCCCGTGCTGGACCGTGGCTGATAAGGCTCTGAGGAGGCTATGCAGAGCCAAGCAGGACAGGACGCAGTGTTCCTGGGGCCCTGGCTCATCCACATCCCCCATGTGGGTCTGCCTCAGCCACCCAGGTGCAACCGCCATAGCTCCCACCTGCAAAAGTGGGGGACAAATGGGTGTCACTGGTCTCAACTTCTCTTACCCTGGAGATGGAGAGTGGCATGCTGAAATCCTTCCCTCCCTGCAGCCTGAAGCCCCAGGGCGCTGGCCCGTTCAGCATCACCTTGTAGGACTCCATGTCACCCATCTCTGCAAGGGAAGAGGGTGTGATCCTGGTGTTAAGGTACACAGGAACAATGTGGGGAGAACAGATGAGGAGGGGGCCCGGCGCCTGGCAGGATGGGGCAGGAGAAGACAGGTTGCACTTCCAGCAGTAACTCCACCCCGACCATCCTACACTGTGGTTAGAGACGCACCCCAAATCTATCAGCATCTCCTCCAGCAGCGTCAGAGCTGAGGGGCCCAGGCTAATGCTGACGAGTGCCAGAGAGCCAGGCACAGCCCCGCTGCCACCCACAGTGGAGCGGCTGTGGGCTCTGCTCTCCCTCTCCCAAACCTGAGATGTGCTAACCCTTGTGGCACCCCAGAAACTCACACTGCTGAAAACCAAGACCGTTGCAGACTACTGAGAAGCAGCAGCAGGTACAGAAGGATGGGAACCAGAAGCATTTTTGCCGGATGAATTACCAGCAGCAGCGCAGGAGCTGCGAGATGCCACCCGAGGCGCCTGGCA